GTCATCGTATGACTGACCTTCGATTGGTGAAGTGGGCTAAGCTGAGGGGAGAGAAAAATGCTACTTTTGCTTAAATTTTATTGAACATCTTCCCTCTCATCTTCAGACACAGTCTGAAAACATGCGTGCATAAAAGACAACGAGAATGTTACAAAGAGGCGAAAAGCGATTGCTGATGTGTTAATTTTGACACGGTGAATCCGGATTGTGAAAAGGAGGTTAAAAAATGTAGAAATAATTGAGAATAACACAGATGAAAAACGAGACGAAATAAAGTTGCATTGCTCCATCCGTCGAGATGGTGTGCGACAAGAATTGTACCTTCACGTGGCTTTAGCACATACAACACAAAGCCAAGTAGCGTCACACTGATTTAACTGTTGTAACAGGAAGGATAGACGCAAATTTTATGCATTTTCAGCGTAAGTATTTCACTTATACTTTTTTTAGGAAATCTTTTCTATTGACTGAAGATACAATTAAGAGACAGTCGTTTTTCAATCAACTATTCAGTGGGTGACGCTCAAAACGTTGAACTTTCGTATTCGATCAGCTTCATAACACACCATAACATACCTTTCAAAACTTGATCACAAGCTCGGGTCATTTTTCCTCAAGTTCATCCCTGAATTTGATACTAAATAAAACAGGTTATCGTGACGAGCTATACGATCCTCACTACATGTTCACAGCAGAAAGTGCGATGCAATTGGATATCGCGACAAAAATCAGTTTTCAATTGAGACAAACAAACATAGAATCAGACACACAAACTGACAAGCTAACGAGATACCCCCGAAACAAGGCCCCTGAGTTGAAAAGTGCTTGGGGAAATTCCCTCAGGGATGATAGCAAACTGATATGACGTGGTGGTTTTGGTGTTTTCACCCATTCGGCGTGAACCTTGGATCGATACCATCACACTAGGTGAGAAATATTCGATCAGCCAGCCGAACATTATGCGTTCTCCGTCCGAGTCGCTCTGCGAATCACGTGCAAACGCATGAATACTTTACGCGGCGGGGCCGATTTTATTTATTTATACAACGATATAAAATTTACAGTCTTTCCCGTCACGTACACAGATTTGTTTTCCTTTTTTTCTCTCTCTCTCTCAAATTTATTTTATCTGCGAGCCCCCGCTTTATTCGGGAGTGAGGAAAGTGTCAAAAAAAGTCGCCGCTTTGCATGCGGCTGAGTCTGTCGTGGATCAGAGGTGAACGAGCACAGGGAGAGGTTCTTTCTAGAAGTTCACATGAAAGAGCATGCGGTAACATGTGAATTTGTTGGGAAACGAAAGTAGCGCACGGACCAAAACACTTCCTACGAATCCGATACCGTCATGCCATGCGCCACCTTGAGATACACCGTCTCGCGTCAATTTTGAAAACCATCCAAAACACTTCAAGGTAGGTACGTCAATTTTAAAGATGCGTACTGATTTTCCGTCTAGGTGACGAGAGGCTTTTCAAGCAACGTATTTGAACATAGAGAAAAGGTCAAAATTTGCGTTACGGATTGGGTGAGGGCGTTAAATCCATTGTTAAAAAGGAAGAGGCATATATGATATTTGAAAAGTTTCCGGAAGGAAGCTGCAAATATTAAACGAAGTCATTAAATAGATACGGGTGTAAATTTAATAATTCCAGGTCGATTGAAACAAACGTGAAAATTTATCGTATGAGCACAATTGGCACAAATATTAAACTCCGCCTACTACTTTCAACGAACAGACTATTACTCTTTCAATTAAGGCGACTCCTTTTTCGCTCTACACGACTTATTTAAGCTATCCTGTGATTTAACTTAGGTTTCGGTCGGCCAGGCAACTAAACTAACTGAGCGGCAAAGCGTAGAGTGGCGCGAAAAAATGAAGGCGCTTTGAGTCGCAATGGACCGCTACACAGAGTCAGAAATGAGGAACTACAACTCATCCTTTCTTTCAGGCAAAACATGTTGAGCATTTCAGAAATTTTGGAAGCAGCTAATAAGAGCGCATGTACAGCGTCTCTTGTTTACATTCGACTCCCATTTTTCACTCTTGAAAAAAACAAAATCAACGTTGGTCGAATCAGACATTGGGAACAATGAAATTCGTTCGATAAATGTATAGTCATATTTTATCGTATATCTTAAGTAAAAATGTTCCTGCAACTGTAAAGCACGGAACTTAATTTTTTCCTCCTTTCTTTTTAAGTAAAAGCAAATACATCAAATTCCTCATTTAAACAACATACTAAAATTAGTTTGATACCAAAGCCCCGAATATAGATTTTGGTTTTTTTCTTTCTTTCGTTATTGTTTTTCTTTTGAATGGGAAATAAGAATTAACAAACACAAACAGCTATTTTATTAGTTATTGATTGAATTTGGATTCATTCAATGTGTTCATCGTATTTTACACCAATGGATTCTGATGAGGAATCGTGTATTGGAGTGCTTATTTCCTTACCCTGACTAGCGGCCCATTGCGTTTTCAAAATCTTCCGACAAGGAAACCGTTATATATATTCGCAATTTCGGACTATTTGTTTATTGATGCATCATCATAGTATGCTTATTGTTCCCTGAAATACCTTCGAAGCCATAATTGAAAAAATGCTGCACGATAATATTCGCTCGCTATGCATTTGGATGGAACCGCAAAAACCCCAACACTTTTTTCCCGTGGGGTCTCAAATATATTCAGGTCCTAAGTCAAAGGAGGTAATCAGGANGGGGGGGGGGGGGGGGGGGTTACCGAAAAAGATCCGCAGCTTCCCCGAAATCTCTCTATATAACTAAAAATATCGATAATTTTGAGGCCATGGATGAATTAATACCGCCAATGATATTTACAGTAAATGGCTGTTTTCCATAAATTTTGGTTTATAATCGCCGTTACAATTCTGAAACTATTACCAAAAATTTGGGAGATCCATATCATCGACTGAGGGCATTTTTGTAAAAAGAAATTTAAACAACATTTTTTTATATATATATCGACCCATAAAACACTGTAACAGACTCCAATCTGGCGGTGGAACCCTGGGACACCCTTTGTAAGTACGCGCTTAGGGGTGCACTGCCGCGGGTCGAGGCAGAAGCGAGGTGTGAATGATCGATTATCGATATTTTCCCTTTTGGAGCTATGGTAAAGAATCGATCATTGAGGTGTTCGTTGCGAACATATCCCTGTGCCTCGATCCTTTTTTATAGGTTTAAATGGCGGATCAATAGGTATATCGCGAAGCACGCCACATCACTGGGGCCGAGGTAGAGTGCCTGCACACTGCACCGGCACAAGACAGTATGTCCCCATTATTTTACTACAGGAAAGCTGTGCCGCTTTTTGGTTGGTCCACACATTTCAGCTCATACGGCCGTGCGTGATCAAACGTTCCTATTCATCGATAGGCATCATCTTGTTAACCACCGTATTTAAATATACTTAGGACGAGTCTCAACTGCGCTTAAGTCCGGCTTTTGTTTGGCCCGTGGTGCGGTTTGGACTCATCGATGGATGTTGCCCCTCTACGTAAAAAGGACCAACAAAATTCGGCCCCAGGGAGTTGATGGCCAACAGTCTCGCGATAAAATGCACCAGATGCACGGTTGCAACTCATTTCAGCCAGCCGTTGTTAGGGTTTTTGCTGAAGTGTTCCCATTCTACATATTATGTTCCAGGATTCGGAACCTTTTTTTAAAATTTCCCCCACTCCACGACCGTCAAAAGTTCCGGGATCCCTTTTACATTTTTTCAAAAGTTCCGAGAGAGTTCCGGAAAATGCAAAAGATCCGGAACATTTCGGGAATTTCAAAATTTCCCGGAAAAACAGAGGCGGATCCAGCAATTTGGCAACACCGGATTTCCTACATTTAAACTTACGCTAAATAATCGATCCCTGCCGGAACACCTGGCCCCTCCAAGAACCGATACATTTCCGTAGGTTTGAATGGAGGAAATCCGGTGTTGCCAAGTTGCTGGATCCGCCAATGCGGAAAAATTCAGGAAAATCTCAAAAGTTCCGGAATTGAGGACTAGTTCCGGGAAATGGGAGCACTGTTGCCGGGTTTAAGAACGCTTCCCTGAGAGGGGTATCCTAGGTCGGGGCCGGGAGCGGATTGAAAGTGCCGGCCGCCGCGGCCCCATCTAGCGGGGAGGTCGGGCGTCGCGGTGCGGCACGGCATGGTATGGGACTCGGGCGGACCGAAAAGAGCAAGCGTCGGAGCTCAGTCTATTAATAATACTTTCTGAGAGCGGGAGGCATCGGCTCCGAGTTGGGCACCTGTCCGTGCATCGCTCCATCTCCGTCTCCGTCACCGACACCGACACGACTCCGGCCGGGTCCGGGCATTCATCGGCATCGACTCAACACCGGCATCGACTCAACATCGGCATATGCAACCGGAGCGGGAGCGGGAGTTGCCCCTGCCCCGGAGACTGCGCCCTCTCCAGCCCACGTCCCACGTCGTCGTCGTCGCCCGTCGCGTCGCCTCGCCTCGCGTTGGGGTCCACGTGACGCGACACACATGGCTATCGCGTGATTCCGTTACGTCATCTGTCACGCGTTTACGGCCGTGGCGTTGCCAGCACTCTCCCGATCCCGGCCGCAGTTCCGCTGCTGCACTGCCCCGACATATATTTACTCTTCCTTCCACTAGTCCCGCGCCCCTGCTACTTCCCTTCACGCCCACGCTTCCCCGAAATCCGCCCCCCCGAGCCGCCTGTCGAGTTCAGTCACTTCTGATTTCATTTTCATCCGGGCCACCGATTCCGATCCCGTCACTCCCGACTTCGGTGCGTGTGTCACTCTAACCGGTACACTCCTCTTTCTGCAAACCTCCCCCTCCCCCCCCTCCCCCCTCCCCCCGCCCCGCGAGAATACGAACGGAGGCACTCTTACCGCCGAGGCTAACAAATAAATCCGTGCGTGCGTTTCCGTGCGTTCGCGGATTTTCGTCCAAATCCGATTTTCAGCTCCTCTGATTTTGGTTGCGTTTTGCGGGCTTTGGTTGCGGTGATCGGAAATCCCCGTGTGCGCGCGAGCCGGGAGGAGTTTATGGACCGATGTTGTGCTTAAAGTTTTGTGACTTGCAGTATGGAGCAGTCGTCGAATTTCTGGGACCAAAACAACACCAGCCCCGTGTACCCGCACGTTAAAAGTGAAAGGTAAGCTGTTGTGCACTATCTCCGCGCCCCTCCTCCTCGACTCTCCCTGTTCAACGTCAACAAACTCACTATCCGTCATAGGCGTAGCCGGAGTGTTATGACGGTGGTGGCTGACCCTATTTCATGTGGGTGGGAGAGGGTCCTCTCGGGAAAATTTGGAACGATGAAACTCTCCTGGACGCGTTTTAAGGTCATCCTGACGTACAAGGGCATTGCAAATTCGGCGATTTTTGTACCATGGTGACTTAAAATTGAATATCTGACGGTTCTTCAATATGAAATCAGGATCACCGTCTTGCTTGAGTTTGGAGGCTTAATGGAAGTCGTTTGAAGGCCGAATTGGCCTCGTTTGGGGTAGCAAATCTTCAGAGAATCTCTTTAAAATGTACACAATTTATTGAAATTCTTAAATCAAACCGAATTTAACATGCAAAAATAGGGAGCACCCCCTCCCTTTCTTGCACTCCTTTACGATCTGAGGGAGAGTAGGAAGCGTTCACAGGGACTTCGGCTTGGTGAGTAAAGCTACAAAGTAGATACACAATTTTACGATTATGTAGGAATAAAAATAGTCAAATTAGTGGTGCAGAGGGGGACACAGCGCCCTTCTTTTGAGGAATATGAACATTTTGAACACTCAACTTGGTGGCGGAGCTATAGGTGACGTGAATCTATACTTGCTATATCCACTCTTCTTCACCTCAAATATAGCGTTCGAGATGACGAGCTCTTAACGTTAGCTTATTGCAAATTGGTAACTCAGTTTTTCCTTTATTAAATCCATTGAAAATATCGATTCTCGTAAGGCAGCCTGCCTCGCCTGGAATAGATCGTTACCGGTCCTAACCTAAACGACGAAGGTAGAGATATAGTGAACCACGCAATCCATCTCTCATGTGGTCTTGAGCCGGAAATATTCGGTGTAACATTCCTGACTCCTGTAAAATTCCTTAGGAAGCACGATGGTGCACAAAATTCACCTGAACTCGGTGGCGATTTTGCGAATTGGCAGCACTGTTTTTCGCCTCCATGAAAACCATCAAAAATATCGATTCTAGGGGCGGCAAGCTGCCTCACAAAGAATCGATTGTTTTACATAAATTTGAATGGAGAAAAAACAGTGTTGCCAACTTTTCAGAATCGCGTCTGCCTGAAGTCTCAAGGGGCTCTCAACTTTGAGGTGAAAGGTGCCGAGGTGGCCACCTATTCCCCAGAAATGAACTTGGCTCCTCTCAGACAATACATATCGATGGTGAGACTACCGGACCACGTATCTTGGTTTGCGACGTTGTAGACTTCCTGTCATATTTTGTTTTTTAAGTGGAAAAGTACTCAACGTCAATCCTTGAAAACTTCGGGGATTTTTCTTCTCTGTGCGATGAAAAATCAGTAAAAATTTCAAGAAATGTATTGAATAGGTCTTCTTAAAGAAAATAAAATGGGAGTGGAGATTTTAAAACAACGCAAACGAGATGCGTGGTCTGGTAGTTTCACCGTCGATTTTGGCAATTTTTCCAGTAAAATGCTTGACATCTCTGTTATCTTTGCACCGAAAAAAAAGGTGCTGTACGAACATCCTGAATGTTAAAAAAATGTGTGACAACTTTTGGATGTTGTCATTGCCACTCTGCCTGTTGAAATAACATCCTAGGGTGTTACTTTTACATCCTATCATGCTACGTTAACTGCCAGAGTGTTAATAGGAACATCCAAGAGTTTACGCACATTTTTTTAACAAGTGTAACATCCGGGATGTTACCACAGCATCTTTTTTTTCGGTGTGGAATTGTATTTCAGTCACTTATACGGTTAAAACAGCTCAAAATTGCTCCTTAGATGTATCAATTTTCAAAATTCTCTCGATATGATCCCCAAATCTCCTCGGCGGGGATCACCCCCCTCCCCCCCCNGGGGGGGGGGGGGGGGGGGGTTAGTCACATCAGTCGAGTCACACCAAGTGCAGATTTTTTATCGTTAAAATTAAGTAACACGAATTGAATTTTCACCCACAATGAGTTTGCACCATACCGATACCTAGAGCGGAGCCTCAGATGCTTAATCTGTTTGATAACGGGCGCACCCACCCGACGAATTCCAACTGTCCCGTAAAATGACTAATACAGCCATCTACGTGAGTCAATACAGTCTGTTTTTTTCCTACTTTTTTGTCTACCTCTTTTTTTATAGCATGAGTAATATTAGCATGATCCATTATCATGCACTTACTTTAGTTTTTGTCGCTATATATGGAGCCTGTATTGGCGGCTTTCGTTTTGACAAGTGCATGTTGTTGGTTTTCATTATACCGAGGCAAATACCCGACTTTAATATCATAGTAAGCTGAAAAAAAGGATTCTGTTGAAGTAGTTCTGTTCGTTTCGGCAATGGGCGCATCATCTTTCCCACGCAAAAAACAATTCCCAGTGCCTATATCAAGTGAGCGTTAATGGATATTTCGACAGATATACTATCTCTGGGGTCCCAAAGAGTATAAGTTGCGAGCGATTTAGTTCATTTTCGTGTTTATAAGGGGTAAAATCAGGGAAAAATAGGATAATCGTCACAGCCAGCCGCTGCTTGTGACGACTATTCCATTTTTTTCTGTGTTGCATTCGCACTCGGTTCAATCTGTGCCATGAACTCGGCAAATGAGAAAGTTATAAATGGCGCTTCCTCGAAACTTAAGTACGTTTTTTGAACTGTGAACTTTCTAACTTCCATACACCTCCAGTTTGATTGATGACATTTCTGGACGCTCATGCCCCAAAATGTTCGCATTAAACACCTATCTATGCCACCGATAGCTCATTTTAAGCGTTCGTAAACTTAGATACCTACTTTTCCTTGTGGACGGCCATAATAACAGAAATATGTTGATTATGGGTTTGTTTTTCTTTTGATGAGACTGATACGTTCGAGTGAGAAAAAGCGCTCGGTGAGGGGCTATCCTCTAGTGAGAATTTTACGGCCCTGGGGATCTGCATCTAAGAGGTGAAACGTCAGTCGTCAGTCGTGCATACCTCAGTTAGCTTAGCTACGACTCAGTAAACTATGGTGTTTCTATCTCTCGACTCGACTTCTCAAGACGGCTTTGCTGGGTTCGGTTTGCCCGAGCGATGAAAGCTATTCTGTGTTTACAATATTTGCCATACTTCTTCGACTCGACCTCTTCGCCAATCCTCCTTGCTCCAAAATGCCATTATCCCTATGTTTATCTCTTTTCAAGCCAATCTTCGTCACGTCGCGTTAAAATTTTCCGCTAGGAAAAAAATCCTCATCCTCCCTACTCTTTTTTTCCCCATCTCTCTTGAAGTTTATCGTGTTTATCTCCACTCGGAGATTCGCATGTTTCCAGTTCGGCTGTGCCCGTTGAAGTAACCAGTTTGCGAACCCCGGGACATTGTTTTTTTGTTGATTATTTTACCTGGTGTTATTCATTACATGGGCCATTTTTCGCATATTCCCAACGATTTCTTGATTTTTAAAAAAACAAAGAGTCTAGCCCACGAAAAATTGAGTTTATTATAGTGGATGAAGTTAAGTTTACTGCACGAATTAAAACAGTTTTGAGTGGACGAGCTGGTACGCAACTCGCGTGTTTTACAGGACATTGTTTTAGTGAGAGGTGGGAAGTTTTCCTGGCCATATGAAATTGTGAGCAAATGACGTACTTTTCAATTTTAAATTATACTATTTTCTGTCTCTCGTCGAATTCATTATTATTTTATCACATGGAAATAGAATTCATCAATTATCAAGAGATTGGAGAACTTTCTTACATTGGTATTGGTATCTTGGTTCCGAAGTACTTTGCGTGATAAATACTGAAAACTTCGAGTTTCGATCAAAGAGTAGATTATGTAGATATGTTTATCTACTATCTTCTATTGGATGCATGCATTAAATAACTGATGGACAATGGACAAGAGATATTTATATCTCTTGTGATATATTTTATTTATTATATATTATATTATATTATTATATTATATTATATTATATTATATTATATTATATTATATTATATTATATTATATTATATTATATTATATTATATTATATATTTATGCCAGATAAGCCAGGGATACCCTAATCATCTGAAAAAGAAAATAAGGGAGGAAAGACTTCGGTTAATCAGATTTTGATGCGTGATCGCAGGTGTTGACCGTGGTAGTCACGCGGTTCAATTGTATCATTCCACCAAAAATGGACTCGCAGGACTGTAGTAGATCTGACCTCCTCATCAAATGGTTCATAGTTGATATTTTTCATTTATAATTTTTCAAAATATCAATTCACCATTTTCTCTGCATACTGCAGATAAAGGAAAGGGAGCTGGTGGAGCTCTATACTGCCGTGCTAAGGAAAAAACGCTGTAGGAACCTTTGAACCTAGGCGTTGACAAATTTCCTCCAATAAAACACGATTTTCCTGGTAAACATAGGAATATTTTTCTTCCAATTTTTCGGATAATTTTGTTCGCAATTTCATCTAAAGTTACTGAAAATTTCAAGGAAAAATATTCATATTTTGCCTGAAAAATGAACATTTTATCGAAGGAAATTTGGCAAATATCAAATGTTCATTCGGCGTTCTTCCTTAGCACGGCAGTACAGCTCATAAACTCGTGCTCATAAACTTAATCATAGGTACCAATGTGTCATGGACATAAGCGGAAGAACCCTGGTGGATACTTAAGATGATCGGTATAAAAGGAGAGCCGACTTTTTGTGAAAAATATCGTTTTTCATTTTTAAAGAGAATGCTTTTTTATACTACCACGAACACTCGGCAAAATTAGATTCCATACTTAGCATAATTAATGATGTTACCTGCGGTTAATGAATCGTTTCCAACGTTGCTAGTAGCGCTGGCAAATTCGGTAATTTGCTTGGCGCTAATTGAAAGTTCAAAGCTAACAAGGAAGAGATTTTTACTTAAACTAGGACAATATTTTGTTGCGATGAGTTTTCAGAGTTTCTTAAAATTAAAAATAGAAG